CCAAAACCCCAAAACCCCAAAACCCCAAAACCCCAAAACCCCTTAATTCAAATTTTGTATTGTAAATTTACATTAAATTGGATATGTCAGGCGTCAGTATTATCGGAGAGAGAGAACAAGGTCAAGATGTGAGAACCAGCAACATCACTGCAGTTATTGGGCTTGCCAATATTGTCAAGACCTCACTTGGGCCACAAGGGCTTGATAAAATGCTTGTAGACAGCATTGGAGATGTCACTATTACTAATGATGGTGCCACAATTTTGTCACAGCTCGAAGTTGAACACCCTGCTGCTAAGGTTTTGGTCGAACTAGCTAACCTTCAAGATAAGGAAGTCGGAGATGGAACCACATCAGTTGTGATCCTTGCTGCTGAGCTTTTGAAGAGAGCTAATAATCTTGTCAAGAACAAGATTCATCCAACCACTGTCATGGCTGGATACAGACTCGCTCTTAAGGAAATGATCAAGTATATCAAGTCAAATCTGACCGTGAAGGTAGAAGATCTTGGAAGAGATGCTCTCATCAGTGCTGCCAGGACCTCCATGTCTTCCAAAATTGTTGGATCTGAGTCTGCATTCTTCTCAGAGATGGTAGTTACAGCCATGGAAAGAGTCAAAACTATTAACAACATGGGAAAGACTAAGTACCCAGTTAAGAATGTGAACATCCTTAAAGTTCACGGAAAGAGCTCGAAAGAAAGTATGCTCATAAATGGATATGCCCTTGAAATGGGAAGAGCTGCCCAAGGAATGCCAACTTCTATCGAAAATGCTAAGATTGCATGCATTGCCTTCAACTTAAATAAATTCAGACTTCACATGGGAATCCAAGTTCTTGTGAAAGACCCAGCTGAGCTCGAAGCTATCAGGCAGAAAGAAATGGACTTTACCAAGGATAGAGTAAACATGATCATTGAATCTGGAGCTAATGTTGTCCTCTGCTCAGGAGGTATCGACGATTTCGCTCTCAAATATTTCGTCGAAGCTGGAGTTATCGCTCTTAGAAGAGTCTCAATATCTGATATGAGAAGAATTGCCACTGCCACTGGAGCAACTGTTGTCACTAATCTCTCAGATTATGAGACATCTGACGAGAAATTTGAAGCTAGCAACTTGGGAAGCTGCTCACTTGTCCAAGAGAAGAGAATTGGAGATTATGACCACATTTTCTTTGAAGGACTTGCAGAGACTAATTGTCAGACTATTGTCATCAGAGGAGCTAACGAGTACTTCCTAGATGAAGTCGATAGATCCCTTCATGATTCCCTCTGTGTTGTAAAGAGAATCCTGGAAAGTAATGCCATTGTCACTGGAGGTGGTGCAGTTGAGACATCATTGTCAGTATATCTTGATGACTTCGCAAGAACATTAGAGTCAAGAGAATTATTGGCAATCTCTGAAGTTGCTGAGAGTTTGTTAATTATTCCGAAGACTTTGGCCATCAATGCTGCCCTTGATGCTACTGATTTGGTGGCAAAGCTCAAGGTATTCCATCATGCTTCTCAGACAGCTGAAGATCAATCAAAGAAAGAGCTTAAACACTACGGATTAGATTTGATAAATGGAAAATGCAGAAACAATATGATTGCAGGTGTTTTGGAGCCAGCAATTTCAAAAGTAAAGAGTCTTAAATTTGCCATTGAAGCCGCTATTGCTATTCTGAGAGTTGATGATATGATTAAAATCGCTCCAAAACTCACAGAGGAAGATAAAATGAGACTTGCTCAACAGCAGGCTGCTGCCCAGGGACAAGATTTCTTCTAAATAATTATATATAATTATAAATCCCAACTATTCATTCCCATATTTGAGTATTTTCAATGGCAAATAGCATAAAGGGGTTTTGGGGTTTTGGGGTTTTGGGGTTTTGGGG